ATTGATCCCTCCACACCGCACCCCCCCCACCCCCCGGCCTTCTCCACACTATTGTCTGCGTCCAGGGGTTATGCATATATGCATATAAGTTCTTTGATTGACAAAGAGACTATCACAGACGTGTCACTCCCACATTAATCTATAAACGCATCAGAATGTTAGCCAAGGTCCCGTCTGCAGCCTGTGGGGTGGGGTAAAGAACTTGACACACTCATGTAAAGTTCATGTGGAGGAATAAATTTAAGGGAATAAGCAAGGAAACTTTCTTAAGGGATAAATAAACTGCAATAGTAAAAGTAGTATTTTTCTGGCACAGGCTGATGAAATGAAATGGAAAGTTCAGAAACAGGCACAGGCGAGCACAGGCATCACTAACTGAGAAATGACCGTGAGAGAAGGAAGGGCCCGACAAGCACGTCGTGACGGCCGACGGGTCTGCACCTCACTCCTGATGCCCAACAGATTCCCGGTAGACTGAACATTTCAGTGCAAGACAATGAAAACAAAATGGGGACGGAAGGCTTCTCTACATATGATTTCAAAGAAGAAATAAAAGACCGATAGATTTGACATAAAACAAATAGTACTGAAGTAAATAAGTACTATGGAGAGCAATCATTTCTCTGTCCTCTGTACTACAATCCCTTAAATTTATCATTTGTCTTTTCACTTCATTAGTTCCTTTTGACACAAAAAAATTTTAAAAACTGTAAGAAAAAATATCAATCCTTTCTTTAAAGCTTCTTTGCTTTGGCCTAGAAGAAGTGACTTAAGAAATAACCCCAACCAGACCAACTTATATTTTCTTAGATCGTTCATTGTTTCTTATTTTATGTTAATGAAGCAGAAGAGAGGCCAGAACATGGCCCTGTTCTGCATTAGCTGCTTGATTTGAGGATGTTATTTAACCCCTCTGAGTGTCAATTTCATTTCCCTGATAAAACAGTTATAATAATGCCAACCTATTAGAGCTGCCACAGGGATTCCAAGAAATAATTTACACAAAGCACTTACCACGATAAAACCCAATATATAGAGAGAGTTGACAAATGGTAGCTAATTCTTTAATGCTATCACATTGCATATTCGACTTCTGAATTTCATCAACAGATTTCCATGACTAGCAACTTATGGTAATATTTTTACCCAACTTCAAAACATGTTTCACACTATTTAATTAATGCTGTAGTTTTCCACTCTTTAAATTACTTTTAAATCATAATACATGCCAATCAGAAAAATATCTTGATTCTTTGAAGACTATCCAGTTAGAAACAGCATCCTACCATTTGGTCTAAAGCTGCAGTCTGAGGTTATCAGATGACCAGTAACTGTATCATCCAAGAATGTTACAAGGTTCCTTACACACCAGAACTGCTGAACTTATTTGTGAACCTAAACTGTAAACAGGATGTTTACGTCTCACCTCTAGCAGCCCGTCCTCTGGGAGGTCGGTGCAGTGCACAGCATTCTGGATCTTGGTTTTACCAAAGACTGCGCGGAGGGTTCCAGGACGCAGATGCCGGGCGATTTCCTGTTAAACATACATTTGCAGACAGAGTCAAGTCAGCCAAATGGTGTTAGTAAGAAAAATGCCAGTTATATGAAACACTGGGATTATCTGTTTATCAAATACATGCATACATGGAGGGGACTGATTTTCCCCAGAAACAGCATAATGAATAAACACATTTTTTGCTGATGGACATTCAACTAATTTCTTTTCCTCCCTCCTCTCCCTCTCCCTCTCCCTCTCCCTCTCCCTCTCCCTCTCCCCCCCCTCTTCACACACTTTCACACATACACACAAGGTTGCACAGACATACAAACAATTCTGCTACAAGTATTCTTGGACGGGGTATGGTGCAAACATAAGAGTTTTTCTGGAATCCCAGGGCACATGCCTATTCAATTTTACTAAGTCCTGCCAACCAGTTTCTTAAGTGGCTGTAACAGTCTGCCCTCACCCACCAGTGCACAAGAATTCCCGCCACCCACATAAACGCCAACATGGGATTGTGGGTGAGGTTTTAATTCCGCCACCCTGGTGGGCGTGAGGTCCACCGCATGTTCGTGGCCCACCTTTCCCCGACGACTGGGGAAGCTGTCTTTTCATATACACCCTCTTCCACAAAATGTCCACTCCTGTCTCTTCTCCACTGTCCATTAGGTTCTTCTCCTCTCTGAATGTTATTCTTAGTATATTCTAAATTCTATTTTCATCACATATGTGATGTATCTTTTCTCAGCATGTAGCTTGCCTTTGAGTTTTCTTTAGTACATTTTCTGATGCACTAGGACTGCTGAGCGGCAGTGAGGGCCCTCCGGGGCCAGGGGTCAGGGTGGGGAAGGGGCCGTCCGGGGCGTCTGGCTTCCTCCACAGCCCTGCTAACTGGTGTAACGTATTTTGTTTAGGTGACTGGTAGTGATGAAGCATCAAGACACAGAGCAAGTGTTCACTTCACAGCTGCTGTTAAAATTCAGGCTTTCATTTTGGATAATTTTGGGGGGAAATGTATTAATACTTTGATTTTACTTTTGATTACTGTAAAATATCACATACGCTTAAGAAAGTAAAAAATACTGCAATACTAAAAGTGAAAGCTCATTGGATCCCCCAGATCATCTCCCCTCATCTGCTGCAGATTCTCCCTAACTGTTCCTGGCAGACTCCTGGTCCTCCTGGACTCCACGGTGAGTGAAAAACATCCTCAGGCCAGTCCCCGCCTTTGATGAACCCGAAACAAGTACCTGATACATAAAAGCAACACAAAGTACGAGCACGCACTTTTCATTGAATACCACAAATAACTCTTTAGAACTTATCACAGCATGTGTGAGGGGTTTAAACAGTCTTTCAAACTCTACTGATTAACCCCACGGCCACCTTGCCTGCTCAGCCCCAACCAGTCGAACACTTGGTCATTACCCAGCTCATCACAAGTACTTAAAATTCTGCTCAGGTAGTCCTGCAGCGGGAGGAAGGGCTCTGGCTTAGAGCATGACTTCCACATCTGAGACGTGGGGAAAATGCACTAAGTGGAATGGTGATTAGCAAAATACCGAAAACAAGGAAGGGCCAGTTTATGTAATTACTCTATTGCTGTGTGCCATAAAAAGAACATTATTGCTTATTGAATAATAGGTCTATTAGACTGGTAAACATATTAGAAAGCCACTCTGTTTCAGTTCTCCACAATACAGAGATATGCAAGAATAAAACACCTTCCACTTAAGAAATGAATTAAAGTGGGGAGAGATTCAGGAAATGTACTGATTCTAGAATGTTAAGAACACAACTCTGTGACCAACTATTGAATATATTCATAAAATCAGAACTTAATAAGAAAGGCCAACAACGCAGCCACCATCACTGAAACAGAAAGATTCGTGTCCCCAGCCATTACTGGTTCTCTTCGCCATGAGCTCGCAATATTATTTATTTATTTAATTTTTTTTAGATTTTTTTTTTTAATATATCTTTATTGATTTCAGAGAGAGGAAAGGAGAGAGAGAGAGGCAGAAACATCAATGATGAGAGAGTCATTGATCGAGCCTGCAACCCGGGCGTGTGCCCTGACCGGAAATCGAACCCTGATCGCCTGGATCCTAGGTCGATGCTCAACCGCTGAGCGACGCCCAGCCGGGCGAGCTCGCAATATTAGGAAATGATGCTGAGTCCTCTGGAGCCTCAACAATATTTCATCACAGCTGATGTTCAAATAGCTTTCCCTGTGTGCATGCAACTCTGAATTAACTCAGGCAGAGGCAATTTTATATTCCTGGGAGATAAGCAGTATCAGCCTAATTCACAACTAAAACAAGGCAAGGAAACGTTGGAAGGACCTGGAAGTAGGAAAGGCAAACAGAGAAGAGGTGCAAAGGCTACTTTCTATAAGCCTAAGGATCCTTCTAGAACCTCAACAGGATGCAGAAAAGGAACTGCAAGTTAACTCTATGTGGCAGTCTCACCGACAGAGCCAGTGGAGCACTCGCAGTGGATACCCTATATAAAAGTGAGCTGTTTACCCACGAGGAACCATTCAAGATCCAGCTCGTGAACTCTGACTTCTCAGCATTTAGCACCCTGGAGCCACCAGCCTCTGATTGTAGAAGCTGCCCCTTTACTCAGCCCACATGACACCGCGTCCGGGCTCCCCTCCTGATGGCTCGGTTCCTCCCCAGGCCCTCACTTTCCCGTCCCCCTGCAGGCTCCCTCTGTGCTCTCTCCA